CACAGTCCTAAAACTTATCCACCTTGGCTTGTTTCTTTGCTTGTGTCAGAGATTACTGCAGTCACTAGCTACATACAGTGCTGAGATCTTTTCCATCCATGTTATGGGATATGACATAAACATTCACCATCAGGCAACGTTCCCTGTGTTAATGAATTCCTCTAAAATTACGTTGATTCTTTTGAGTAAACAAGCAGAGGTATCAATGAACCGTTAGGAAAAAGAAATTAGATTCATTAAAACCAATTCTGCAAGCTTAAAAATCAAGGACTTCTTTCCCCAATTGAAATGAATGTCACAGCCATAATTGTTAAAATTCTTACCTTCACTAATTATAAAAACGTAATCTTACTAGAAATAAATAAATACAAATAATAAAAAATTCGCTTTTTATCACTTTGTGTTTAAGAAATGTTTTTCCTGAAGAATAAAAAACATGTGCGCATGCTCCATTTTATTCCCAGTTAGCTGTCATTTTCTGGTTCTTTTTCACTAAGCTGATCTTTGGGTTGCCCATGTTTCAGGAGAGAACCTTCATAACAATTATAACCCAAATGAAAACTTTATTCTTCTAAACGCTAAAATAGAGACAAATTTAATCTGATAGTTTCACACCAAACAGGCTACCTTCAAATTCTGGGATGTAACTAACTTGCTTTCTTTCTCTCATCTCCATTGGTCTTTGCTACATCTTTCAGTTAATTTTTTTTCCTTTTTAAATCCTTTTCATTAGACTTGTTTATCTCTAGCCATTGCTCACTGTTTCACCAGATAGCAAGTCACGATGTTGTTTCACAGCAAAGGGCAACCGTGCTGTCCTCACAGAAATCAATAGCAAAAATTCCCATTCACAGCAGAAGATATTAAATATTGCTCTGATACATTTTAACTGAAACTCTTCCGGACTCCCCGCTAATTAAATACCCTGCCATTATGCTACTTTGCCTTTGTTAACTTTCTACTTGTCTGGGTTGAAATACTTGAATACTTCAAGAAATTGAGTTTTCTTTCTTCTCCTCTCCTCTTTC